GATCAGATGATGAGAGCTAGTACAGGTGAACTCTCTTTACAGCAATCTTGTATACAATGATATTCCCTGAAAAAATTGTTAGTGTTCCCACAGGGTTTTCTCCCAATGTCATATAGGGTTCTTCACAAGAAAAATCTCCAGGATTTTTTTACGGTCGCTTCAACTGCATTGTAGGGAGTTCATCTGCATTTTCAATGTTGATCGAAGATGTACAGCAAGTGAAGTTTGCCTGCCTAGCATGCCTCAGAACATGAATTGCTTCTGGCATATTCCTCTCTCATGCTATAAAATTTTCTACTATTTTTAAAGATAAAAAACAAAGCAACATTCAACTGAGTTATTTTTAGTATCAATTTGAGACACTTCCAATTGCCAAACTAAAAAAATTCCTTTCAACTTCCAGGTGGGAATAAATTGCCAGCCACCCACTAGAATCCCTGGCTCTGACTTGGCCAAATTCTCACGCGCTGTGTGTCTGCTGTCTAATACCACAGCTATAGCTGAAGCCTGGGGGCGATTGAATGCCAAATTTGACAAAATGTTTGCGAAGCGAGCCTTTGTTCATTGGTACGTTGGCGAGGGCATGGAGGAAGGGGAGTTCACTGTGGCCCGCGAGGACATGGCGGCGCTGGAATTTGACTATGAAGAAGTCAGCAGGGACCCCGAGGATTCCATTCAATTTTAAATGCCATCTGAGAAAAAAAATGTAATTATCTGTCGCCAATTCTTGTGAGGTTGGTCGTGAATGTATATATGACTGGTTTAGAGAAATATGTCCTCTTTTAATTTGTTAGTGGGTTGAAGACAAGTACTGTACAGCAGGTATAGACATCCTTATCCATGTTTCCCTTGGTATTTCTGTATATTTTTCGGCATTTCGAATTCATCTTAAGGCAAGCTGAGTTTTTCTGTTTTCAATCCTTTTTTGTAATTGAATTCAACATCAATTCCATAATAAAATGAGAATCTCAAGTCCTGTTGTCATAGGAAAGACTTATTGGGATATATTTTTAAAAAATTGTTGTGAAAACATTTTGGTGCAAAGCGCACTCTGCTCAAATATATGCAGTATTCATTAAATTGTTTTTTTGTAAAACCCTGAAAACATTAAGTATAACATCTCATTAAGGTTTGACTGTTTCACTATTTTTATCTGTGACTCAAAAGTTCTGATCATTTTCTTTCTAAGAAGGCTTGATTTTATGATTTTCTTTGCATTAAGAGACTTCTGATGGCCAAGAAAATACAGTACTCTCCAAACTCAAGATTAAGAACAGTCTTAATTACAAAACTGAAAAAAATCAGTTGGATAACGGATGCCCAGTTATCTAATTCAAAATTCAAGTTGTTCTGGGAGCAATTTTGGACTGAAATTTTTTTTCATTCCTATTCATTTGATGTGTTGAAATAACAACTGGAGTGTTTTAAGCTCTCAACAGTGACATACAAAAAGGGATTAAGGGCTTTGCTTTACAAAGGCTTCTGTGTAATGAGGAAATGTCACAAAAGGGTTTCAATAGTTCCAGTCCAGCTTAAAAGTGGGAAGTATCCCAGCTAATGATAATTGTGGCTAAACTTTGATTGTTTTCAATGTTCCACTCAATACATTGAAATCTTTTGAGCCATCCCTCAAACCCGACGCTCTCCAATATTTTATAATAATGCACACACTGTTCTATGAACATACAGTACTGCATTGTTCTTGTAGTACTTGTAGCATATGAGCATTGAAGGTTATTTATTCTCTGTTAACCCCTCATGAACTGGAAGGGAGAAGGAAGTAGATTTATTGGGAATCAGGAATAAGTACTCTGCTTTATTCCTAACTAAATAAATAATTTGTACAGTCTGTACAGATAATATTATTCAAACAAATAATCATATTATTATTCAGACAAATCATCATATTATTATTCAGACATATAATCACATAATTATTCAGACAAATAATCATATTATTATTCAGACAAATAATCATATTATTCAGACAAATACAGTAATCATATTATTATTCAGACAAATAATCATATTATTATTCAGACATATAATCATATTATTATTCAGACAAATAATCATATTATTATTCAGACAAATAATCATATTATTATTCAGACAAATAATCATATTATTATTCAGACAAATA